TACAAATGCACCATTTCCTTTCTTTTTTTTTTTTTTTTTTTTTTTTTTTTTGTTGGAGACGGAGTCTTGCTCTGTACGCCCAGGCTGGAGTGCAGTTGCCGGATCTCAGCGCACTGCAAGCTCCTCCTCTCGGGTTCACGCCATTTCCTGCTCAGCTCCCCGAGTATGCCGGACACAGCACCCGCCACATTCGGCCGGCTACGTTTTTTCTGTATTTTTTAGTCGGAAGAGGGGTTTCACCGTGTTAGCCAGGATGGTCTCGATCTCCTGACTCTGATCGGCCCGTGATCTCGGCCTCGCAGCCAACAGTGCTGGGATACAGGGCTTGAGCGCATCGGCACGGCGGGCACCATTTTCCTTTCACCCTTAACTTTTAGAAAGCTATTGTGTTTCCACCTCTGCAATGCTTATGCAATAAACTTCACTTTCACTTAGGAGCTCCCACTACTTATCCGCAGAAACCTCTGAATGCCCTCTAAGCAAGCGAATAGATGAGTACAATCAGACTTTGACAAAATGACGACGTGTTACCGGTTCGTTTCAACAACCCGACAGATTCGGTGAAGTCACCATGTACTCTGTACTTAATTCTTCACCCGTTAACATGAGTTCACCATGCCGAATGCTCAAATGTCTAAATCGATCGTGTTTCTCATGGACTGCTAGTATTGCCTTCCTTTGCACCACAGTATTCTGACGGTGACCTAATAATGTCAATCGTAAGTGAAGTAATGGTTATATCAATAATTATACTAATGGATTCAGGTTCAATTCCTATCCGCATTTCCCCATCACTTATCAACTGTGCATAGTATACCTGGCATTTAATGGTTTTAATCTTATAATTCTTGGATTATTATATTTGATATGCTCTAAACTTTCACTATCTTCCCGATACCCTGAAATAACATGATACCTGGTGGACTTCGCACAACATCTTTGACTGGTTTTATAGTGTTACCTCACAAATGACCTTACTTGTTGACTTTAAGACTGTCCATCAACTGCGTTGCACCTTCGAGATCCAAGCGGCGCAGGAATTGTTCCATTTTAATGTTACACGTTTCGTTGTGGGGAGCCGAGACACGGCGGGAGCACCGAGTCAGGAGTCGAGACCGGGGTCCTGCATAACACGCGATGGCTGAACCGCCGGTCTTACTACAAAATACAAAAACTAGCCGCCCCAGAAGGAGGCTAGCGGGGCAATACATTCAAAATTAACTTCCCAGCCTCAGTCATAAGGGCTTTGTATGGTTGCGAAATAATTACAATACACTCCTAATAGCCAGATATGTATGCTACTTTTTGCTTTTGGGGAACAAAAGAATGTATAACTGTTTTGGGTTAATTGATGTGTGAGCGTAATAAAGCTATATAGAACACTCTAAGTTGGATATGTTTCTTGTGTAGAATGTTTGTTTAGTTTTTTGTTTCTGGACTCCTTACTCTATATGGCCTTCTAGCTACAGCTAAACCAATACTAATTCATATTTGTGGTAGGGAGTAATGTCGTCTTAATGTATGTTATTTATTCCCTTAAAAATACCCTACGAACTCCCCCGCGCTACATGAAGCCGTTGTATATTTGCTAAGCATTGTGTACGCTCGTAGTGGAGATGGTATGAGTGTGTTTATTTTAAAGGTTTTTATCCGGCGGATTATATTTTCCCCCTTTTTTTCAGATGGGGATATATATCATCTGTCGCCAGCTGCGGGTGCTAGTGGAGCGATGATCTTGAGAGCACTGCTAATCTCCACCGTGATAGGTAACTTCACAGCCGTTAATATTATCTCCTGCCTCAGGCTCCTGAGTAGCCTTGGGATTACAAGCAGCAGCCCACCATTGCTCCAGCTAATTTTGTGTATGTTGTTGCTAGTAAGAGATGGGGTTCACCAGATGGGTTGGCAGGATGGTTCCAATCTCTTGAACGCTCGGGATCCGGCCGTCGTCGGTCCTGGGCCGAAGGGAGTGCTGGGAAGATAGATATTACATGGCAGCCCCAGCTACGGCGGGAGGCCTGAGGCGGGGTGCGCGGTCCCTCACCCTTGTAATGCTGCATCATCACTTCTGATCTTAAAATGTTACCTTACCGTTCATGGTAGAGAATATGCTCTTCGGTAGACTTGGCAGACCATCTAACTAGCGTACACGATGGCGGGTGAATAATCCCTTACACGCATCTGCCATTACTATAAAATAGATAAAAGTGAATTGGTGTGTGTTGTCGTGAGTCATCATTGTTCCCGTGTGTAATAATCGGCGTCCGTGTGATTCATGTGGTTATATCGTGGTGTGGACATCCCTGTGCTTTGAGCGAGTGGTCGTAGTAGACGGAAGCCTGTGCCTCGGATTTTGCAACATCTTCATGGAAACCCAGCAGGGTGCGAGATTCGCAAGTGAGGCCCAAGCCATTGTGGATCAATGAGGTGGCAGCTCACAGCCCTTCCTTCTCACATCCATCTGCATTCTGGTCACCACAGTTCCTTTCATGTTTATTAAATTGTGTGTGTGTGTAGTTTTCATCTTGACAACAAATAACACACTCGTACTACAAAGATGAGTCGTGGAGGTAATATTCAACAAAAAATGAAGGTATAATTTTAAGAAAAGGAAGGCAAATATTAGTGCAACCCAATCATGTCTGGCAAAAATAAACGCTTGATATAAAGTGACCTTTAAGGGCATATGTCAGGGTTCTCTGGAGAACTGAGTGATGCAGATGATACAGATTGGATATAGGTATAGATGCACACAATCATGCGAGCCAGTCCCTGAAAAGTCCAAAAGACGGCAGGGTAGGCCAGCAGGCCGAAGACCCTGGAAAGAGTTGCTGTTTGCGTCCAAAGCAGTCTGCTGGCCCAATCCCTTCCTGCTGGGGAGAAGTCAGTCTTCATTCTGTCAAAACTTTCAGCTGATTGGATGAGGCATGCCCACAGAATGAAGGCCATCTGCTTTACACAGAGTCTTCCAATTTAAATGTTAATTTCATCCAAAAAACACATTCACAGAAAAATCTAGAATAATGTTTGACCAAGTATCTGGGCGCTGGACCCACCCAAGTGAATACATTAAAATTAACTCCCACAGGCATAAGGCTTGTGAAATCTTCATGTGCAGCTAGGAAAGAAAATCCTGTGCTTTATATACGGCGTGTTCTTTGTGGCGAAGGGAAAGAGGAACCGTTATTCGTGGGTGGGAAAGTCATGCATTTCATCTACTAATCTGCTCTAACTACATTAACATTATTTCTTTTTATGAAATGTCTTGGGGAAAAAAAGATCTTTTGTATTTATACTCAAGCTTCAAATACAATATCATTATCCAGAAAATACTAAATGTATGTAAAGCTTATATAAAATTTAAAGAATAATTGTGACACTAAAGT